GTTACAAAAATCGCCTCGTTATTTGGAACGGCGCAAGTTATTCTTAGAAGTGTCCTTAGAGTTGAACGCACGTCTAGACGCGCTATCGGCATAGTTTTGTCCTCGAGGATTGCGTTGATCTCACTAGTTTCGATGATGTAGAAATTAAGATCTCAAGCACGAAGGTGTCTATATGCTCTGTTCCAAAATAAGATTCTTTCAATCATAACAGCAAATAATATTTATCTGTTTGTGAAGTTTATTTGAGACGTTTTTTAAAATAAGTAACTTGCCAGTGCTTGACTACTAACCTACATGATGGTAAGTGGCAATGTGGTCGAACTACCTCGGTAAAAGCCTATCACTCTAGTCATGAAGAGATCCAGACTATAATCCGAAGCATGCCGATAACTTATTCCATTTTATTGATTGGTGTAAAATGAATGGGACCTTATAACTAACATATTATTATTGTTATTTAAAACTTTATGCACAAAAAATCTTTGTAAAATGGCGGACTCAATGCTAAAGGCCATTTTACCCAACGCGTGGTCCAGAAAAGTTGAGGCAGGTGCACAAATAAAATTATAAAATATAGAAATACACATAATTTCGAGACCACGTTATCTATATAAATATGAGAGATTTCCACCGATAATTGACTCATCACGATATATCTGGAACCATAAGGCGTAGAGACTTGAAATTTGGTAAGAATATTCCTTTCGCCGAGCAGACGTCAGATAAGAAGACGTCGGATTTTACGAAATGTTCCCAGTCAGATAATAGCTACCGATCGAGCCGAGGTCCGGCCCTCTCGGGCACCCTCGAATCGGAATGCTAAACGCGTGCTGAGTGACAGTCCAAGCCGAGGTCCCCTCTCGGGGACTCTTGAGCCTGATCACTCCATGGAGCGCCCGCCAAAGCGCCCTAAGAGCTTGGCGGCCTCCCAAACCGGTAACAATAACAGCGTGACGGCCCGAGCCGAGGCTCCCCCGGGAGCCCTCGAGCTTAGTCACCATAACGCGTAATAATAGTACGCCGAGGTTCAGGCTAGGCGCCTCGTGCGCCAGGCCACCTCAAGTCCGTCGGATCTGTGAAGGCCCCTAAGGCCAACAGTGGCTCATCCAGCCAAAAAAAAAAAAAAAAAAACGAAATGTTTCCTGTTGGGTCCGCTACTACATAATAAATATCCTAAACATCTATACTGGACAATTAGATGTAAAATAAAATGTTTATTATTCATTCATCTCATTCATAATAAGTAAATATGTTCTTTTCGTTCGCTCTCTCTCTTCCGCCCAGACCTCGATCACAATTCAATATTTGCTCTGTATAACACTTTAATAACATACATACAATTATACATAATAATGTTCTGATAGAAACATGATGTAATGATATTTGTATTTCATATACCATAGTTTCCCCAAAATTTCCTAGTAGTAAACTGACAACAAAAAGTAACAGCCTATTCATGTCCCACTGCTGGGCAAAGGCCTCCTCTATATAGAGGGTATCAGGGCATAGTCCACCACGCGGGCCCACTGCGGATTGGCGGACTTCACATATTTTCGAAATATTTTTTTTTTTGTTATTATTTCGAAAATATGCAGGTTTCCTCACGATGTTTTCCTTCACCGCGGAGCACGTGATAAGTCAGCACTTAAAGTTAAAAACTTCATTGGTGCCGGCACCGGGGATCGAACTCAGGTTGCTCGAGTATATTGAATTAAAGGCGAGCGCCCGGACACTGAGCTATCACGGCTCTTAACTGACAACAACGGCTAACTATTTTTTGCGCCGTTCCGTGCGGCTATTGGGTTATCTAGACAAGTATTATCATACAGCGTGTCTTTACCAATAAATGAACACACATATAAAGGATAATTTTTTAAAATTGTATTAAAGATTTACATTCTTTAAACATCAATATTTACCGAGTTATCAAATTTTCCAAAACAAAGAATTTTAGAACACCCTTACGTATAAAACTTTAATGTAAAGTTCATTTGTAAAAGTCACAAAGCACATGAATGCGTTGAATGAATTTAAAAGAGATAAAACATACTTAGAAGGAGAGGCTTGTAATGGGGCGCAGTGGCAACGAATGAAAAAGTATTTGAATGTATGAATCAGTCAGTTGTAGTTGTATAGGATGTTACAAATTTTGTTTCTTTTTTTCTTAATTAGTCAAAATAGAAAAAATTTTTTTTTAATTATGGAATTTTTCTAACGTTAATATTTTTTTATTGATTATTGGCAAGTAGCGTAAGACGTGTGCTCATTTATTGTCGCGGTGGTAAAGACACGCTGTTTATAGGTAATCAATGTATTTCGTAATATACAGAATTTAAATTTCGAGCAAAAAAATTTAATTTGGAATCAGTAAGTACTCTATAATAGTAGAAAAGCCTAGGATAATCACAGCAATATTAATAAATAATCAATATCAATCAAAGTCCTTATACTTTGATGACAGCAGATCTTGTGCAAACCACGAAATTATGAACTAAAAAAATCAAGAGCAAAGAAAGTAGCCGTAAGTAAAAATGTTATTGTTGTTCTGGTAATTTATTGACAAAAATAAAAATTAGGAAAAACGAATAACTAAACTAAAATATATGAGTTTGAAAACTAATAAGGTTCTAACACTTTTAAGAGGTAGGCAGAAGGAAAACTTTGTTCATTTTTTGTTGATTTAAATTGTGGGAACAATGTGAATGTTTAAATTTTGCAGTTTCAATGAACAAATACTATTTATTCGTTTAATATTAATTAATATGGACTAGTTTTTACACTTATCAAGTGGTGCATTTCTTAGAATTGGATGTCAATTAATACACCCACAAATTGTTCTACCTTTCTCCAGTCAGAAGACTAGAAATGCGAAAGTACAGCCGTGGGGTCTTATCCATTATCCGTCCAAGTATACAACAGCAGAAGCTACCCCTGGGTTTTAAATTTACACTGTATTGAAAATATATGTGTATGTTCTCTCGTTGTTTTTAAATTGCGCTTCCCTTTAAAGCTCAATATTATTTGATGCAACTAGAAAATTATACGCTGCGCCATATTCACCTAACCATGCAAATTCAATTTCCGAATTTTCAGGGTAATTTCTCTTACCTTGACACAATATTTTACGCACTTTAATTGAAAACTAATGTTTAATATCTGTTATAAACAATAATGGAGAGAAAATTAATGAAGACGCTAGATAAACAGAATCGTTTTCGTTTAATCAAACAGTTCGATATTAAATACGTCGTGTTTTCTATTTTACAACCATCCAATAATATAATAAGATCGCAAGATGCAATAGGTGTTTTTTGCGACCTTTCAAAAGCTTTCGACTGCGTGGATCACAAAACCCTCCTTCTAAAGCTTGATTATTATGGCATTCGTGACATCGCCCTCAATCTCATTGCTTCTTACCTTAATAATAGAATTCAAAAAGTATCTATAAATGATGTAAATTCCGCAGGGTCCCCCATGAAAATGGGTGTCCCACAAGGATCGATCTTGGGCCCATTATTATTCTTAGTATATATAAATGATCTCCCCTTTTATGCCAGTGAGTTATGTGATGTTGTACTGTTTGCTGACGACACATCGCTTATTTTTAAGGTTGACCGAAATGTATCGAATTATGACGACGTGAATAGTGCACTTTCGCGTATCCTCCACTGGTTTACCATTAATAATATGGTGTTAAATGCTAAAAAAACTAAATGCCTTCTTTTTGCCCTTCCCAACGTAAGAAGGCAAAGTTTTAGCTTAAAATTGAATAGCGTAACCCTTAATCCTGTTGAGTCCGCTGTATTCTTGGGAATCACAGTAGATTCAAAGCTCCAATGGAGTCCCCATCTATCATCTCTTGCGAATAGGTTAAGCTCCGCTGTTTATTGCAATAAGGAAGGTTAGGCAGCTATCAGACATCGACACTGCCAGACTTGTTTACTACAGTTATTTTCACAGCATCTTGTCGTACGGCATCTTGTTGTGGGGTAGTGCATCTGATATAAATTCAATATTTATTATTCAAAAAAGAGCTGTCCGAGCAATTTATAACATCGGAGCCCGGAATACACTCAGAGATCTTTTTAAAGAGATTAATATACTCACTGTTGCGTCTCAATATATTTATTGTAATATTTTGTATGTTAAACAGAATATTAATAATTATCAAAAGAATAGTGACAGACATAAACTAAATACTAGAAATAAGGACAAACTAACTACGCCATTATTTCGCCTACAAAAAGTAAACAGATCGTTCATGGGGCAAAGTGTGCGCATGTATAATAAAATCCCACAGTCGATGTTAAGTCTGCCACTTGATGAATTTAAACGAAAAATTAAAAGTACACTTATGGCTAAAGTCTATTATACTATTGCCGAATATCTTGACGACGCCAATGTGTGGGGTTGATACTGTTGATACTCACGTAAGCTAAAACAAGACTTGTACCTGTACTATTATATTGTAAACTGATTTTTTAAAAAAGAGCAACTGTTGAGTTTCTTGCCGGCTTCTTCTCAACAGAAACTGCTTTCCGAACCGGTGGTAACTTACGAACGTGTTAATTTCTTGTAAAATTTTGACGTTTCATAAGAACGCGCAAGCCTATGTGAATAAAGATATTTTATTATTTTATTTTATTTTTAAGCCAATATTATCTTAAAGGCATACAGAGATATGGTTTAAAATTGCTCAAAATCTTATAAAACTATTTCAAAACGTTTTAGAAATATTTAGAACGTTTCTGCGAATATTCGCAGATAGAACGGATTTCTTCTAAAAGTATTGTAATTTTATTTTAATCTTAGTAAAACTATTAATGTATTAATGAAATTATGATTAATGAAGTAAACAACACACAGCGGTCGGCGGTACAGTAATTCTTGTTTACAAGTTTCGCCGCTAACTGACCCACTTTGTAACGTAATACGAGCTAGATTTTTTCGGGATAATTGGGTCGCCGAAGTTGTTTTGGTCAGTACTAACTGCGTAGCTACAAATGTGCTGCTGTAGCCGGCTGCAATGTACGCAATGCAAGTGTTTTCTAATTCTTTCCACATTATTTGTACGTGAATATAGGTTGGATAAAGGAGATTTGCAAATACTTAAGATAAAATCTCTATTAATTCTTAGTAATTTAACAAATTGAGAGATGAGTGCAACCTCTTTTTGGAGTGATGCAATAGCACATTTCTTAACCGCTTTAACTTAACTCCGTCTTTGAAGTGGTGTCTCATTGGTAAATTACCTGAACCAAGTATTGCTAAAAATCATCGTTTCTTAAAACTTTAACAACTTTACATCAAATGAACATATCGCAGTAATGTTTTTTTAGATAAGGTTCAAGTGTAAATTAAAACTGTTTGAAGAATTATTTGTAACTAGCTGCTGCCCGCGACTACGTCTGCGTAGAATAGTCTGAAGGCGTAACATTCACACAGAAAGACAGATATACATAAAATATGTATATAAATTATAGCCAATGTCTTATTCTGATGTATAAGCTATATTATTGTAAACATTCATTAAAATCCATTCAGTAGCATTTGCGTGTAAGAATAACAAACATCCATCCATACATACAAACTTTCGTGTTTATAATATTAGTAAGTATCTATCCAGTATTCTACGGTTCGCGCAATTATTACCTCTATCAATTTATTTATATAGATAGATGTGTAGATTTTGCGTAAATACAAGAAATCATTGTTAGGGCATAGCTCACGACGCGACCCCATTGATGATTGGGGACTATTTTAGAAATATAAACACTATTTAAATTACATATTACTTAAATATGCAGGGATCTCGTCGACGAGCACGCGGAAAATAGCACTTAAAAAATTGCAACTAAGAATTTCTCTTGTGCAATGAAATTTGAACTCGGCTTGCTCGATTATACTGAAGTAAAAGCCAGCGCTCGAACACTGAGCTGTCACCGATGACTTAAATGTATTAAAAAAGTAAAGTAAAAGCAAAGTAACAGCCTATACATGTCCCACTGCTGGGCAAAGGCCTTCTCTATACAGAGGGTATCAGGGCATAGTCCACCACGCGGCCCCACTGCGGATTGGCGGACTTCACATATTTTCGAAGTGTTTTTTTTTTTTGTTATTATTTCGAAAATATGCAGGTTTCCTCACGATGTTTTCCTTCACCGCGGAGCACGTGATATGTCAGCACACTAAAGTTAAAAACTTCATTGGTGCCGGCACCGGGGATCGAACTCAGGTTGCTCGAGTATATTGAATTAAAGGCGAGCGCCCGGACACTGAGCTATCACGGCTACAATTATTTGTTTTTAATTCTAAATAAACCCCATCGCAATAATGCAAATAAAGACGTGAAGACCTACAAAAAATGGGAACGTAACGAGATATCAAGTACAAAGGTGTTGCTATGTTATTGATCTAGTCGCCATGAACTCATTACAGCATCCTTGATGCCCATTTGATATGTATGTGACATCATCATAGCTGAATTCGTTTTCGTTTTACAGATTCAAGCATCTGTTCTCGTGTCAGTGAAAGGTTCATTTATTATAACAGATTATATTGTTATACAACAACTTATCCAACTTTTGACATAAAAAAGATTTCAATATCAAAATTATCTTTTTTTCATTAAAGTATTTTAAATCTTATGTGCAGTATTACTTTATGGCGATTCACATAATTGAGATTAGTCCAGAGAAGAGCCAGCGAGAAAGACTTGTCACAAACATTTTTATATGCTCTGATGCACAATATTTTTAAATAAATGAATAAAGTATAAAACTGTAGTAAGGCAATGGCGCCAATGTCAGTCTCTTCTTTATAGATTATATATTTGTGCCATTTGCTGTTGAAATTTTTTAAAGGTTATGTCACAGGCTTATCGCCCTAACTGGATACAAGAGGGCATAAGTTATCTTCTCGCTAAAAGGTTAAGCATAAATATTCAGCAAGGTAAGTGATATTTAAAAACAAACTACCTTATCTACGATACAATAAGGTACATTATCCATATAGTATACACACATACATACTCCTACAGTAAGATAACATTATCTAGCTGGCGTTGCAGAAAGGTTAGACAAAAACAAATAATTATTTTTAGATCAAATTATGCTGGTATTCCGGTTATAAAGACTACCGTTTACAACTGATCAGACTGGAAATCACCGAAAGACTATCTCTAAAGGTTCTGATCACCCATGCAAGCTATCTAAATTACGGTTTGATAAAGGTAAAAGTGAATGACCGTCAATTCATATGAAATCCAATCTACTTGTAGTCGCCTAACGTCATAGAAACGGCGACCTCTCCATTTTCTATGGTATCAGAGTCAGTAAACTCGGCGACCCGTCAACGACCCGGGATAGATTGCGAAATATGCAATAGTCTAATGTCATTTCAAGGACCGCAGCGCGACCACGTGTAGCGACCAAACGGTCCCCAGGAATCCGTAACAAGACGCCAACATTACGGAAAATGACTCACAACGCGTAGCGTAACCCCATTGACGGTCGCGTGTCGCGTCGCGCGCAAATTTGCTTTTCCCGCCAACGCGCGCCTTCTCCGATCGATTGTCGATTTTGTGCGAACGACGCGCGGGCTATACGCGTCCGCCATAAGCGCAGCGGGCGGCTTGCGCGGCCGCCGGCAAATTTTCTTTTTTAGCGCGAACACAAGGCCGGCGATAAACATTTCAGCGTTAAACGAGCTGTGTTCGAGTGGATCCGGGAAACGATAAAGTTGTTTTCGAGCGCGGTGCCGCGCTGTCTGTCGCAAAGTCCGAGAAATCGAGGCCTAGAAATGTCCCATTGTCTGTCCCCTTGTAGTCTACGTTTCCGCGGTTCACGTTAAAGAGTTGTAATGTAATTAATTCAAAGCGAGCATTTTAATCTTAATCATTTTAATCTTGGTTCCACGATACTAGCACTTATGTCACTCGTAATGAACAAAAATAATCAACAAGCAAATAATTTAGGAAAAATGATTTACTACTACTATTTAATAATACTTTTTTAATTTTTAAGAAATAAAAGGCTTTTTAATTTTTATTTTATTTTATTTTATTTATGTTCTCTTCTTGAAGGTTCCGAGGTCGTAACGGTTCGGAAAGACCGCCGGCGGCAGCTGGTTCCACAAAGTGGTTGTGCGAGGCAGAAATTGCCTATTAGATCTACGGTGGTAGGGCCAGGCAGCAGCCTCGGCTGTTGCACGAATGGGCAGTCTCGTCCAGATAAGTACCACGACCTCACAGAAGACCGACGTAAAGTGCGGCGGTATTCACTTACCATCAGGTGAACCGTCTGCTTGTTTGCAACTTTTCACTAAAAAAAAGATTGTATTACAATAACCTAGTACTTCTTCGGGTATCCAGAGGAATTATATAATTACCACCACAAGGTTTTATGATATCCTACCCCGTTACAAGCGCGTCTTGCAATGTACCTAAGTCTTAAAACATGGTAGAGTCACGCAACAGTTCACACGAATGGGCTAGTCCGTCCGAAGAAGTACCATGACCTCACATGGACCTCACAAGTGGAAGCGTTATACTTCTGCGTTTCATCTGGTGAGTGTGGTATAAAGTGGCACGCACCTGCAACCCTACGGATGTTGCAAATGTCCGGCGGTAAAATGGGCGGCGGTTATCACCTAACCCCAGGTGAACCGCCAGCTCGCTCCGCATCTCCTTACATAAAAAAATAAATCAATGGCTTATTGCATATTGAAACATCTTTTTCTGCGCGGATATCGATACGGCCTTAAATACTGGAACGCGAAATATTTTTCAGGGAAAAAAATTATGATTAAAAAGCAAAAATAAGTAAAGGATAGGATTTAAGTATATATGTGTGTTTTTATAATAGGTTTGTGACTATGCCAAAATGCGCTAAGTTTTATTCGGTGCACGCCAGACGAATGTATATAAAATAAGGCTATACTAATTACAAAAGTAACCTTTTAGTTCCTTTCCAATTTTGTTACCATACAACTACTTTTTTTGCAATGAGGAATTTGCCAAGATACCCGCGCCGTGGTGAAAAAATATATTTTTAAAATTGCGTGTTGTTGAAGTTTATTCAAATAAAACGATAAAAAAATCGATATGATTATTTGAATCGCCTGTGAGAATTTGTAGTAACTTTAGAGCATGAAATATTGCTTATCATTTTCTTATCGCTGCAGTTGCCTACCAAACTTTGGCACTGCCTTTAGATTTTTCCAAAGAAGATTAATAAAAACTTACAAATTGTATCAGAAATATTAGATTTTATAATTTATAAAGTCATAAAGGACGTAGACCGAAATACTGAGAAAGTCTGTAGCATTATCTCAATACAGATTTACTACAATAAAAAATGTTCTTCTTAAATAGCCTTTTAATTTTACGAGCAGATGACTTATAAAGACGTTGATATAAATTAGCTTAGGGTTGATATGTAATAAGTTTATTTCCCATTCTTCATACTGAATCTACGCGGTATACATAAAGTATAAGTGTGTATATATATATATATATATATATATATATATATATATATATAAATATATATACATAAAGCCTAAATGCGATTGACTGTGCTCTTTTCTTAAATATGCATAACATTTTGTCACACGTTGCATTGTATTTTAAGCACTCAACAAAAAAAAAGAGCTTATTTCATAGGGCTTATTTTTTATTACAAAATACAGTGCTTTAATTGATAAGCTTAAAAAATATCAATAGTTAAATCAATCAAATCCTAAAACTTATTTAGACCCAAAATTTATGTAGAATATGCTACAATACAACAACGCTACATAACTTATATTAGTTTCTGTAATTTTTTTGCATGTATTTATATTACGGTAGTAAATTTTTTTTAAAAGCATTCAATATCGGACCACCTAAAAACTTATGCAATGCAATCGGTATGATAATGGGCGTTGTGCATAAAAGACACAGTGAACGCGAATCTTCGAAGTACAAATTGGCGGTGTGAAGAAACGCGGCAGTCGAAGTCTTTTGCTTAGCTTTACTGAAAAGCACGACCTGTATTATATTGTTGTGGAAAGTGGTTACACGTTGCCCAGTTTTACCAAAGTACCATACCTCCAACCACATTATTTCCTTACTATTTCGCGACCAAGGAAAAGTGTCAATGAGTTCGGTTCATCTGATGTTAAGTGATAACATCAGATGAACCGCCGCCCTTTGACATTTGCAACACTCGCAGGGTTGCATATGCGTTGCCATCTTATAATAAAGTGGGCCCTTTAATGTGAAAAATTGGCGAGCGGCACACCTGACGTTGAGATGACCGCCACCATACAACAACAGAGGGTTTGCAGATGTGTTGCCCATCTTAAATAAAGTGGCATCGGCTACCTCATTAACAGACGAAACACTAAAATAGTACCTACTCCCACTTCACGCTGGTCTTCTGTTATTCTGTGGTACTCCCTGCACGTGTTGTGCAAATTTTCTAATAAATCAAACGTCCAGAATTAGGTTATAACATTTGGTTAAATTGACGGATACACATTTATATAAACATTTGTGAAGATAATGGTAAAAAGCGTGTCAACAATAAATAACGCCATTAAAATACCCCAAAACAATAATGTTGCCATAAGAATCGATGTTCTGAAGACAGTCACGTCTAGGAAATCGTACTATTTCGTAATATTAGGTGCAGATAGATTGTATATTTATTTACATAATGAGTGACGAAGCATCTCGCTTCGCTCAAGCGAGTGGAATGTAGATAACAAAAAGTTGAGGGACCGCTAAACATAGGCGTCTGGTAATTAAAAGCAGAGAGTGGAATTAATTTGTATGACTCACACTCCTGAATGTCCTGTACAAAACCGTAAAGCTGGCTACTTTGCTTCTATACTCTACATATTTTAGCGCGCCGCACTTGTAGGACGGGAAGTATATCTGCCTTGAGAAGGCATTTCAAACGATATGATATAAAACTATAATGATAAACATGTTTACGTGCTTTAGTATAACATGAATAAGTCAATTTAAATTATTATTTCTAAAATAAAATGTAGATTTATTACAGCAAAGCTCGTTTGCCAAAATAGAGCGTTGCTAACGAGTGATAAACTTTTAGATGTACTTTGTAACTTTAAACGTGTTTTTGGAAACCAAATATAATGGAAAAAAAACCCGATTTTATTGGGTTATCTTTATTATTATACGAAAGACATTTATGTTTTAAAGATTATTTATATTTAATTTTGGCGGTGACTGCGTGTTACATGGTCCATTCTGAATTTCCAACTTTCGATGATGTGTCCAAGTATTTCCATTGGTTATAACGAGTAAGGCGAGTAATGTCGGCTTCAAACTCCTTAATCGTATTCAGCTTATTCATGTAGAATGTGGACTCTACCGAAGTCATCTCACCTCACCTCTAGTCGAAAGTCAAAAGGCAAAAGATAGAAGTTGATAATACACGAAAGAAAGAATGATAATACACGATATAGTCGGCCAATCTATTTTATCTATGCCGCTCGAGGTGTGAAATTAACTTATTGATTTTTTCTCGCAATACACCAAGGGTCGTGTGCAATGCTCTACCAATCCATAAAAAACGCGAAGCAGTTGTTTTTTCTGGATGTAATAGCTGTTCTCAAATGAGGTTTTTCTTCATCTCATCGACAAGTCCAGTAGTTGAGAACAGCGCCGTTTGCCATTGTGCGCGTCACTTACATGGTATCGTTGGTTGCGTATTGTAGTATAAAGAAAAATCTCAGTTATTTCAGCTCAATCTGGACAGTGAATGTTTTAAGTGTAAACTAAATTTATGTTATTATGTGCAATTTATCAACTTTAAGTGAAACATTTTAAAAATTAAACAAACGCTGACATGCTCGTTTTAAATTAACTACAGCGCTTTAACGCGAAACGAGGAAACCGCCACTAGAAGGGACTCGAACAATGGGACACTACTAAGCCTCGATTTCTCGGATTTTGCGACAGACAGCGCGGCACCGCGCTCGAAAACAACTTTATCGTTTCCCGTATTCGCTCGTACACAACCCACTTAGCGCTGAAATGTTTTTCACCAGTCTTTCATTTCGCGTTAAAAAGAAAACTAGCCGGCAGCCGTGCAAGTCTCCCGCTGCGCCTAAGGTGGACGCAACTAGACCGCGCGTCTTCCCCATAAAATCTACAATCGATCGGAGAGCGCGCGTTGGCGGGAAAAGCAAATTTGCTCGCGAACCGATGCACGGACGTCAATGGAGTACGCTACGCCGCGTGAGTCATTTGGCATGGTGCTGGCGTTATGTTACAGATTCCTGAGTGTCGTGTGGTCACCCTACATGTGGGCGCGCGGCTTTCTTTGACATGACATTAGACTGTTGCACATTTCGCAACGGATCCCGGGTCGTTGACGGGTCGCCGATGTTACTAACTCTGATACTGTATAAAACGGAGAGGTCACCGGTTCTACGACACACCGACCGACTACGAGTAGATTGAATTTCATATCGATAGACGATCAGTCAGTGAGAGTGCTAAGTAAGAATTTGTTTTTACTTTTACAGCACTGTAATGAACATAGCTTAGAAAGATATGAGACGAACTGTTAAGACGCAAACTCTTGACAATTGTTTGTTGGTACAGTTTAAAATTTAAAAAAAAAACTTTATTTATTTAAAAACTACTTAAACTTTAAATAGTTTTTAAATAAATA